CGCCGCCCGCTGCCCCGACCGCCGTTGTCGTTCAGCCCGCGTCTGGCCCCGTCGACCGTGGCGCTCTCCTTGGCCAGATCCAGGGAGGTCTCAGGCTGAAGAAGGCGCAGACCAACGACCGCTCCAAGGTTCAGGGGGCTGGCGCCGTCCTTGGAGACGCAACGCCTCCTGTACAAACGTTTGTTCCCCCTCCTAGTCCGCCAGCGGCAGAGCCCGAGGCGCCGAGCGCTGCCGGACCCGTTCCTCCGGCACCAACCGCGCCCGAAGCTTCAGCTGTGCCAGAGGCCCCTCCGCCCCCACCCGCGCCACCTGCGCCCGAGGACAGCATGCCCGGAAGCTTTGGCGCTACTACCGACGACTTTGCCAGCAACCCGAATCGGCAGAGCATCGACTGGACCAACAGCCTGGCCGCCGAGCAGATGAATGGCCACAAGACGGCATTCGTTCCGGAGCAGGCCGCGCTGCGCGAAGTGGACGAGGAGAGCGCGGACGAGGACGAAGGGCCGGAGGACGCTGAAGCCATCAGCCGGGCTCCGCTCGGCGGTCAGATGGCGGCCGCAGCCAGCCCTGCAACGGATGACGATCAGCTGGCCGACTTCGACCTCTCCACGACCCTGCGCGTCCGCACGCTCTACGCGTACTCGGCGCAGCGCGACGAAGACCTCACCTTTGACGAGAACGTGGTACTCAAGGCCAACCGTGCCAAGGCCACCGATGGCGACTGGTGGTACGGCGTCCTCCTCGACGGCAGCAAGAAAGGCTTCTTCCCGCGGGCTTATGTCGCGGAGCTCGATGAATGTAAGTGGACGGTGCAGGTCTTGTCGCCGCCGAACAAAGTGATTCGCATCGCGCCGGCGCTGACGTCTACTACAACTGTCTCGGATTGACCGCGCCGCACAGCCGCGAATCGCGCCAAGGCTCTCTACGAATATGCCGGCACGACGCCCGAGGAAGCTTCGTTCTCCGAAGGTGACGAGCTCACCGTCGTGGATCAGAGCGATGCCAACTGGTGGCGCGTCGACGTCGGCGGCGACCGGATCCTCATCGCCCCGGCGACCTACCTCGAACTTCAGGGTTAGTCGCTCGCGCTTCCCCTCCCAGCCCGCGTTTCTTTCTTCCTGCGTGTCCATAGTTGTTTCTTTGCCGGTTGCGGTCCTGTCCTCTTCTTCCGCTCCATCCTCATCTCTTCTTGTAGCAGCCAGGAGTGGATTCAGATGGTCGGCGATCCAGACCTGGCGCGGTGCGACTGGTGGCGAGGTCGCGGGGTCCCGGGGTTCAGGAAAGCCCGGCCATCGGGGGGAAGAAGGGGCGGCCGACTCTCGCCGCGGCCCGCTGTCCCTCTTCCTTCTTCTCCTGCGCTGCTACAGCACCGTCTTGCGAAAGAGGTCGAGGGACAGTGCGCTGAGTCGGTCTCGTCTTTCCCCTGCTTTGCCCCTTCTGTCACCCTGTTTTCTCCTCCGCGTCCTTCTACCGGCCTCGTCGCATCTCGATCCTTGGACTGCGCCGCCCCGCCCCTCGACCATCTCAATTCAACCTTCTGACGCGACATCAACACCTGTACGCCTCATTCCCTGCCGACTGCCGCTGAATGGCGTCCCACATCTGCCGTCGACGTGCTGCTTCTCCAACTTCGTTCTTGCGCATCGACTCCACTTGCACACAATGACTGGCCGCCGTCCCCGACGTATTGCGTCTTCCCCGTCGCAGTTCGAGAAGATACGACACCACCAGCCAAGGGAGACACAGCGTCGATCGAGCCCATCCGACCGACCCTGCTTCCGACCTCTCTAACCGACAGTGATGCGGAGTCGGCGGTCATGATAAGGTTGCAGTCGTCAGAGGGAGACGGTGCGCATAGCAAGCAACGTCGACCCGCTGGCAGTGGTGAGGGAGACGAGTGGGTCGTTGTTGATGGCGGCAAGGACGGCCCGTCACCTTCTCCCGCGGGGCGCAGGGAGGCGACGTCTCGGACCGACCAAGGTGGGGCATCGGCGACGCCCGACGAAAACGATGCTGACCAGGAGGCTGCGATGCTGGCTAAGGCGATGGAGGAATCGCGCGACGAGGAGATCCGTCGAATGGACGCGGCCGCGCAAGAAGAAGCCGAGCTTCAGCGAGTCCTGCAGCTGTCGAAGCGCGAATCGACGGGACTCGAGCAGGCTATTCGAGCAAGTGCTAGGGCAGATCCTCTCGACGGACACGGCGGGAGCACCACCGAGGAGGACGATGACGACGACGACGACTACTCCGAGACTGGCTGGACCTCGAGTGAGGATGACGACGAAGATGACGTGGACGACGAAGACCTCAAGCCCAAGACCGACGAGGAAATCCGGATGCAGGCAGCTGAGCGCATCCGTGTGCTGGAGGCGGCTGGAATCCTAGTTTTGACGGGCGACACCGACCACGGCGACGCTACTTACCGCGCCGCACCTGCCGGTGGCGTCGACGGCGGTGGTGGTGATGGTCGCAGTGCTGATGTTGGGCCCTCGAAGCCGACGCGACGCCCCCCGCCCCCACCGGCGGTCAAAGGCGCCAAGAAGATGGACGAGCTGCTACTTCTCGAGCAAAAGGGCGCGCAGCGGAAGCCAAAGCCCGAGAGGCCAGAGAGGCGGAAGCCGCCCAAGCCCAGCCGGAAGAAGTCGTTGCCGCCCGTGCCGACGCAGCCGGCCGCATTGGAGGACAAGATGGAGGATGCCTACGACCGCTACCTCAAGCTGACAAAGGAAGTGTCGTTGCGACCGATTTCGCCGCCGGCTGCCACCTCAGAAGCGCTACTGAGCCCGGGCAATCGGCGACCCTCGATCTCGGGCCATAGCATGGCGTCTTCGGCTTCGGCGTCTGGCCGACCCTCGACGTCGTCCATGGCGCCGCCCGGCTCGCCGCCGCCCCAAGCCAGCGGCGAGGCGAGCAAGACGTCCGCCTTCATCAATTCGATCAAGAACATGTCTCGCTCTTCGCGCGCCGCCAGCGGAACGGCGACGACGTCGTCCGGGCTGATTGAACGCATCGGCACCCCCACCATCTCTGGACCGATTTCGAGGCCGGATTCGGCGCAGCAGATATCCCGCCAGGTTAGCGGCCCAGTCGTTGGTCGATCTTCGCCGGCACCGCCGGAAGCGGCGTCGTGGTCGAAGCTGGTCGGCCCAGAGGCCATCGCCGGCGTCCCCGAGATGGAGCGCAAGAGGCAGGAAGCCATCTTCGAGCTCATCACCACCGAGGTAGCCCACGTGCGGGATCTGCAGATCGTCGTTGAGGTACGTGTCCGCCATTTTCCCGTTCTCCCTCGTTCGCTGGAATCAAGGACTATCGATGGGGTGGGCGGACACATCAGGTCCTATAAGGCAGCTAACCATATCCATCATTGGCCGTCCTATGGTCCCTCTTGCCATCGGCACGGCCCCCTCAGGTCTTTTTCAACTCGATGCAGAGCATGCTGAGCGAAAAGGCGAGCACGGTCATTTTTGCAAACATCGAGGCGGTCCTGCTCGCCGCGGTATCCTTCCTCAGCGATCTCGAGGACCGACAGAGGCAATCGCGGCTCTATGTCGACCAGGTCGGCGATGTCTTGGTCAAGCATATGCCAGACATGCAAGTGTAGTGAGTGCCGGCGCGATGTCCTCCTTGTTCCTATTGCAGCTGGATGGCTGCTGACGGTCTAGCTGCTTGTTCTTCTCGCCTCCAGCCTGCCATACTGCGTCAATCAGTCTGCCTCGGCAGAGATCCTGCAGGCCGAGCGCAACCGCGATACGCGGATCGACATCCATCTGCTCAATCTGCGCTCCTCGCACCCGGCCGCACGTGGGTTGGACCTATCGTCCTTCCTCCTGATCCCGATGCAGCGCATCACGCGGTACCCCCTGCTCATCTCGCAGATTCTGCGATACACTCCGGAGGGCCATCCTGACCGAGAGCCGCTGCAGCGCGCGCAGAGGACGTCGGAGCGGCTGCTCAACGAGACAAATGAGAGCATCCGGCAGCACGAGACGCACGCCACGCTCGTCGCGCTCAGCTCGTACCTCTACATCGGCTCCGAGGCGCGCCTCGACCTGACGCAGCCGACCCGCTTCCTCGGTGCGCGCCAGATCCTCAAGGACTCGTCGCAGGTGGCCAAGTACCGATCGGGTAGGAGGCTGAGGGTCGTCCTCTTCAACGACCTCCTCCTCCTGCTCGACGCGGAGCGAGAGGCGCTCTACCGGATGCCCGTCCCCCTCGACCACGTCCAGGTTGTCGATGAGAGGAAAAAGCTTAGGGGCAACGACGAGTCCACCTGGACCATCCGCGTCGAGGGAGGCGAAAAGGTGCGCTTCAAGTGCGACAGCCCCCGCGAGGCGGCGGCATGGACCAGAAAGGTCAAAGAGGCCAGGGACGTCTACGAAGTCGCGAAGGTGAGTGGCTCCCGGCTGGCAGAGGCTGACGAGGGCCATTCGGCGGCCGCGTGCTGATCGGGATCGTCCTGTTCCCCATCGCACCATCGACAGGTCAAGGCTGGTCTGGCTTGATCTCGGCGACGCGTCTCTCTCCGTCTGATTGTCGAGCAGAAGGCGGTGGGGCCAAGCACGGCAATGTCACTCCGACGGGGGACATTTGGCACCGAGGCACGGTCCGGGCGACACACTTGTACAAGAGCAGATATCGTTTGTGTACAGAACCGCGGCTAACGCGGCACGTCGGCGAGGCGAAGCTGGGCTACGCTACCGGTCGGACTCGTAGTCAGGGAAGCGTAGGAACCCCTGTCTCTACTTCTTGGCAGCAGCTCGAGACCGTGTCGTCCTAACCGGTAGGCTCGACGACGGGACCGACTGCTGCTCGTCGCCGCTGCTCTTGGCGGCTGCGGACGAAAAGGCCTTGGATCTGGTCGTCTTCTTCGTCGTCGTCGTCGTCGTCGCGCCTGCACGCGCACCCGAACCGGCGGTTCGTGTGGATCTGGATGGCCTCGTCTTCTCTTCCTCCTCAGCTGCTTGATCACCGTTCAGCTCGTCGTCCTGCTCGATGATGCCACTGCTTTCGTTACGGCTTGATTTCCTCGTGCTCCGCTTGGTGGTCGAAGACTCGGGCGCCACGTTCGTCACGTCGCCCAGCGGTACGGCTTTGCGACCTCGCGTCGTCTTCTTGGGCGCCGGAATGGCCGAGCGCTTTGCCGACGAGGACCGCGTGGACTTTTTCGTCGATACCACCTCAACACCGGCAGCGGCAATAGCGGTGGTATCTTCGGTCTGAGCTCCGTGGTTGTCTTCGTCGTCGTTGTCGCTCTCATCTTCCGACGAATCGATCTCGATAACGTCGCCCTCGGACGCCGCTGCCTTGGTCCCGGCCGAGGCTGAGCCGCGCTTGCCCCTCGCCGTCGCCGTGGAACGAGTCGTTTTGACAGGCGATGAGGCAGGCTTGCTGGCTGCGGCTGCGGCTGCGCGCCGCGTCCTCGTCTTAACGGGTTGCGGAGCTGGGACCGGGCTAGTCTCCTGCATCTCATTCTTGGATGCTGCTTCCGCTCGAGCCTCCGCGTGGTCCTTGGACTTTCTGACGTCGGCATTAGCCTGGTCGGCTTCAAGAGGCACCGCAGTCTCCTCGTCCTCTGAAGTTGAAGCGGCCTTGGCCTTGGCGGCTCGGCCGCGTCGTCGTGTCGTCGTTGTCGTCATCTCAGTCGGTATGGGAGATGGTTCTGCCGCCTTCTTCTCGTCATGAGTCTCGGCTTGGGTCTCGGGCTCCTCGACAGGAGCGGCGGCTGTCTTGCGGGAGCGCGTTGACTTGGTCTTGACGGGAGAGGAGGCGCTGGTCGTAGTACCCTTGCGGGTTCGGGAGCGCATCGCCTTGACGGGCGATGTGGCGGGAGGGCCCTGGTCCGACGATGCTTGGCCGAATTCCTGCTTCTTCTCGGATCCTTCTGCCTCGTTTGAGTCGTCCTCAGCGACGACGACAACGGCAGGCAGAGGCTCATCTGAGCTCCTGGCCTTGGCCTCGTCCTCGAACGAAGCCATCTCGACCCTCTCATCAGTCGGGGCGGGAGTGAAGGTCGTTTCACCCTCCACGTCGTGTGAGACCGGTGCCCTCTTGCCTCCGCGCAGCCTCGACTTGGGCGTGGCGAGCTCGGCGGCCTTGGCCCGAGTCGCACGCGTCTTGACGGGGGTCGGCGCGGTGACTGACTCCTCCTCGGTGGCGGCGGTCACGGGCGCAGTCTCCTCCTCTGCGATGGCTGGCGCAATCGCCTCAATCGCTGCAGCCTCCGTGTTGACTTCTACCTCGGTGGTTGGAACGTCCGGCTCCGCTACCGGGGGCTCGTCTCCGACGGCGACCGGCGTCTCGCTCGGCTGCTCAGCCTCATCCTGGTCATCCGTGGGCGCAGACTCGGATTCGCGGCTTGAATGGCCAGTGGAGAGGCGCCTGACCTCGTCAAAGAGCTCTTCGTGGCCCTCGTGGGACGCCTTGTCCAGCAACCTCACTTCCAAGACAGCGTCGAGGGCAGGCGAAGAGACTGAGGGCAAGGGATCTTCTTGCCCCTGAGCGCCAACGGACGAACCCGTTGACATATGATCCCTTGACCCGGTCAGCGCTGGCTGCGCCTGAGTCAACGGGGCGACGATGGCGGTCTTGCGCACCGAGGGACTCGCAGTCGGCTCTTCGTTATCTTCCTCTGTCACCTCGATCGCCGCCTTCCGTGGGTTGAGCTCATCAACTTCAAAGAGCTTGCCGACGTCGCTTACGGAGACAGATGCGTCCGAGATACACTTCTTGGCGGCGGGCGTGGCCATCAGGTCGCGCAGCGCCTGTCCGTCCTCATCGTGCTGATCGAGGACGGTCTCACTCCTCAGCGCTCGTTCGTGCGACTTGAAGAGATTCTTGACGGCGGCCAGGTGCGGGTCGGAATCGACCTCGGTCGCAGGCAGCGCAAATACCTGACGGAGGAATCGTACGTCTGGCGTGGCGGCCGCCACTTTGGGTTCCGCAAGGAGCTGCCTCAATCCACGCATGTCCGGCGTCTTCTGCGGCAGGGGCTCGGCGAGCAGTTGCTTGATTCCCCGCATGTCCGGTGTCTTGGGAGGCAACTTCGCAGCTGCCCTGCGTTTCGAGGGCGAGGCGCGAAGCTTGCCGAGCTTCTTGCGTTCCGCACGATCCTGCGGCGAGATAAGCTCGGCCAGGACAGGATCTGCTCGCATCTTCTCGCGCAGCGTGCCGTACTCGACCGGCGGTCGCAAATCGCTTCCTGAAGCGAACATCGAAGCCGTATCAACGAGCGGCTCGATCGACTCGCAAAGGCTGTTGAGCCCTGTCACGTTCGGCGCCACACCGCTGATAGACGGCAGATGAGGCACAGCTTCCAGGACCAGCGATTTGATGGCATCCTTCTTAATAGTCGACTCGCAAGCGGGCGATTGACCAGGTCCGCGAACTGGCGGAGGCGTGGCGAGGACTGCAGGCGCGACAGTCGTGGGGGGCAGGTTCTCTTTGTCTTCCTCATCAATCTCTGCGCTCGGCTGGCGTCCGCCGTCTTCGTTTCGGTCGTGGTTCTCCTCTTCCTCGTCATCGATGTCCGTCTCGTCGTCGGTGTCCTCATCGATGGCGGCGGTGAAGAGGCATTCGATAGCTGCGGCGAGGACCTCCTCTTCGTTCGTGTCCAAGACGACGTCTTGATCTTCGATGTCTTCGATCAGGTCGTGGCCCATTGAGGTGTCGGCCGGAGGTAGACCGATGTCGCTGATGCAGACGATCTTCTTCCCGGCGCCCTTCTTCAAGGGAGACAGGCAGGTGAGCGCATCGAGCGTGGACGTGGCCTCAGTCGATTGACCGAAATGGGCTCGAAGCACCATCCATCTCCGGTCCGACGTCGGGATGGCAGACATCGATGCTCTGCCAGCACGGTGCTTTCGCTCTTCGGACCGCGTCTCAGCCAAGGCTGGAGACGAGTCGGCGGTCACGGCCTTGGTTGACGTGGACATGACCTTGGTGTTGCTGGCCGAAGGTGCGCAAACGTTCTCGTCGCAGGCGAGGCTCAGGCTACGGTCGACCTCATCCTCATCCTCGAGGTCTTGCATCTCCCGTGCGTATTCCGGAGTTCCGGGCACGCTGAGCGGGAGTGCGATTCGCCTCGGCGTCAAAGGCACCTGCACCGAGGCGACAGTCGCGTCGGGAGCAGCGGGAGCGGGATCGCGTGCGGGCGAGTCGAAAGCCTCGGACAGCTGCGATGGCATGGAGCTGGACTTGCTCATTGACCAGGCGCCGCCGTCCATCTGAGCCGACCTCGGCGGCGGTGGCACAAAGAGGCGGTCGGAGTACTGCGCGCTCGACCTCAGCAGCGTTAGGGTGCGCAACGAAACCTTGCGCTTGGTGGGCGAGCTCATCCTCGACGGCCTGCGCGGCAGCGGTTCTAGGTGGTGGGCCGGCGATGGAGAAGCGGGCGAGGGCGGAGGCGGGGGGCCGGCCTCCACCGAGAGCGGTCCGGTATCTGGCATCTCCTCCTCGGGCATGTTGGACAAGCCGTGCTCGTGCTCTTCGTGAGCAGCCTGAACGCCCGCTTCGTCTTCGGAAAGTCGACGTTCTTCGCTGTAGAAGGCGAGATTGACATCCTTGAGCGGGCCAGCTCGACCGAGGAAGCTCGAGCTCCTTCTCTGCCTCCTGTTCGTCTTGGGTGTTCCTTCCGGAGTCGTCGAGGTAGCGGAGTCATCGGCCTGGTCATTGTCGGCTTCGCCCGAGGGGTGTGGATCACGGAGGGCCGCCGTCTCTACCTCCTCCACTTCCTCGACGACAATCAGGTCGTCATCGTCGTCATCATCGTCGGTGGCGACAGGCGCGGATGCGGCGGGCTTCTGGATGACGAGCTCTTCTTCTCGCATCTCGTCGTCCATCGCCCGGAGCGAGTCCACGCCGACGCCGCGCTCTTGGGCGTCCTCGATGACTTCGTCGTCCTCGATCTGCTCATCCATCTGCGGCATTGGAGGGAGCGCCCTCATCTTCTTGACCGGGCTCATCCTTGGCCGGGTCGACGCGCTCTTCCCGTCAAAGAGGTTGAACGACACCTGCTTTGGAGGCGCCGTCTTCGGCTCCGAGGCATTTCGCAAGCCGCCTTTGACGTTGGGTGTGCACGGCACCTGCGACGTGGATGGCATGGGAAGCGTGGACAGGCTCTTACGACCTCTGACTGGCCCACCAGTGGCGATCTGACCCTGCAGAAGCAGGTTGATACCCGAGAGTCGGCGCGAGGCCCGCCTGGCGGCCTTGGGAGGGCTGGATGGAGGAGACGACTGCAAAGCCTTCCTCTCGGATAGCGGGTCCGGCCTAGCATGTTTGGCCGGCGTGTCGAGCTGAGCGATGTTGACGAGGCTCATGCGGACCCTCCTGGTACGAGTGGTAGCAGGGGTCTGGGCGATCTGGCCAGCCTTCTTGATGGGCGAGGCCGTGCCGGCTGTGCTGCCGCTCGCCGTCGCAGAGGTAGCGGACTGCTCCTTGAGCTCGAAACGGAACCTCCTCTTGGCTACGACGATTTGATCGCCAGTCCTGAGCGGATAAGTACCGTTACCCTTGGGCTCCGGAAGCGCGAGGCTAGCATTGATGTCGACGCCATTGGTACCGAAAACTTTCATGGAGGCCTACAAAGGCGAACCGTCCCAATCAGAAAGGCTAGGTCAGGGTCGTCCTCGATTCCTGAACCACTGTCTCTAGCGTGGCCTCACCTGCTTTGTCTCCTCATCGATCTCGATGGAGCAGTGCAGTCGGCTGACCTCCGCTGTGAAGATGCGGACGTCATTGTCGATGGACCTGTTCGAGGAGCACGTTGCGTTGGGGGGAAGTTCGGTAAGCACCCGGATCTCAAGACACACCGACGTTGCCCGGGGCAAGCTACTTACCTTCCCATGGTGGTGAGGGCACGCGTGATGGGGAAGCGCTCCTTTCGACGGCCCTTCTTGTCCTCGAGAATGAGATAGGCCAGGACCAACCCGTCATCTTGCGCCGGCTGCTGCTGCTGCTGCTGCTGCTGCTGCTGCGCTTCTGCCATTGTAGCGTCCGGCTGGTGTCTGGACTGTTCCGTGGCAGGGGCGTCTTGCTGAGCTGACTTTGAGCGCGGCGAGAAGAAGCTTCCGGCAAACGATGCCGAGCGTCGGAGCAGGGACGTCGGCGAGGCCGTGCTCATGATAGCTGGGCTGTGGGCGACCTGGGTGATGAGAGCAGCGGCCTTGTCGTTGCCGATCCTTTGACGCGTCGCTCGGGCGAGCGGACCAATGACAGGGCTGGGACTGTTTGGCGTTGGCGGGACGAGACGGCGAGCGGGGATGGCAAGCCGTTGATGAGGGCAGACGTTCTTTGTGGCGGCTGGGGTCGGTTGCGCCGGGATTGCGACGCGATGTTGGAAATGCGGTGCGGCTGTTTGACCTTGACGGCGGGATCAGTTGATTCGGGGCATTGAGGGTCGGACGGTGATGGTGGTGTTGTTGAAGACGGAGGGAAGGAGGGGGACGGGCGCGCCTGCGGCCTGTTTGGGTTGCGGGTGAGGGAGGGTGAGTGGATGGTGGGCGGATGGATGGAGCAATAATGGCGGTGTGAGCGGCCTGGATCGTCGCAGAGGCAACCACATGATGAAGTCACAATACTACTCGGCTCACTCTCTATCGTGCTCTCTTGCTCCCAGAGTGGCATGCTTAGCTCGCTCTGTGGCCCAAAACACACAAGCGGAGGCTGCCGTTGCTGCTCTATCTGCCTGCTTTGCCTGCCTGCCTGCGTGCCTGCTTGCGTGCCTGCTTGCTTGCTGCTGCTCCTCCGCCGCACCGGAATGCCCCACTGCACATCAACACCGACCCGCGCGCGCCTGACCCCCGACGCGCTCGAGAGACAGATTCCAAAAATCGGCGCCACTTTCCCAGCGAGCACGTGCCGGAGAGGGGCCATCCAAGCAAATATCCATTCGCTCGGGCATCGCCTCCCATCGCCTGTGTCTGGACCGCATCCCTCCTTGATTGCTTGTGTGGGTCCCGAACACGCTCGTCTGATGAAGGCACCTTGCGCGCTGCAGCTCATGAGCCTCATATGCTCCTACGGTCTAGATCGCGGCTGACACTTCATCGCCATCACCCCATGCTTGGACGCAGCGGTCCGGCCGCCGATACGGCAGGCTTGCGGTCGATTCGGACCGAGCGCCCTGTGACCGGGCGCGATGTCCTGACTTCATCCTTTCAGCAAAGCGCCAGTCTGCTATGGCCGACGTGGAACCGTATAAAGGGACGCGTAACGTCTTGTCGTGGTGGTGCCAGCCATGACCAACCGCTCCCCCCTCCTCTTCCTATCCTCGCGTTTGCTCCCTCCCTCACTGACCCGGCAACAGCGTCCCCTCACGCTCTCTTTTCCCTTCCTCGAGTTGCAGTCCGTGACGCGTAGACGCCCAACCAGGTCAGCGCGATGAATCTGAGCCGCCCTCTTCTCGCGCTGCTCCTCGTAGCGCGCCTTTCCCTCGCACACCCTCTTCCCTCTGCCGGTTCAAATCCGGCCCCCGTGCCACCGGTCGCCGACTCACCATTCGTCGTCGGCGCCAAAGAAGTCGAGGCCGTCATCCAATGTCCCAAAGGCATTCGTGGACGCAATGGCGGCGTCGTCCTCCTAGTCCACGGTACCGGCACCTCTGGTTCCGAGAGCTGGGAACAAGGACCGTGGCTCGACCTGCTGCCCGACCGGTCGCCCGGCTTCGACGTCTGCCACGTCACGCTGCCTCAACGCAGCACCGGCGATGTCCAGGACACGTCCGAATGGGTGGCGCGTGCCGTGCAGAACCTCGCCACCAAGTCTTCGACGGGCAAGGTCGCAGTCGTGGCCCACAGCCAGGGCAACCTCAACGTCCAGTGGGCCCTCACCTTTTGGCCCAACGCGGTCCGCACCAAGGTGTCGCAATTCATTGCCCTGGCCGCCGACTTCCACGGCACTCTTGTCGCCCTCGGCTACTGCAAGCAGGGCGATGCTGGGGGAAAAGGCTGCTCGATCTTGGCATACCAGCAGGCCACGGGTAGCCGCTTCATCACGACGCTTCAGGTCGCCGACGGAGACCGGGCTCTCGCGCCTACCGCATCCATCTATACCATCTACGACGAGACCGTCACGCCCGAGGCGGGATCCAACGCCACCTCGATCCTCGGCGGAGCGTCCCTGTTTCCGCTCCAGGCCCCGGAGCTCTGTGGACCGCTGCACCCGGCTGAGCACCTCAGCATGCTCACCGACCCGGCCGCGTTCGAGATCGGCTATCGCTCGCTTGCAGCCGGCGGGCCCATTGCGAAGTCCAGCTTTGATCGGGAGTCGTGCAACGCCTTTCTGACCACCAGCGGCCTGGAGCAGCACGGGGTTGCAAGGCTGGCCTCGGCAGCCAAGAATGCTTTGGCGGACGTTGATACCGTCGCTACCGCCCCGCGAATGGGCGGAGAGCCCGAGATCAAGGCGTACGCCAAAGCCTATGCGCCGCGCTGACCCAGGCAGGATGACCCTCGAGTCCTCCAGCCGCCGTCGGCCATGTCGCGGCGCAGAAGGTCGATCCGATCTCGTTCCATACGGCCGCAGCGCTTTGCTCTGTCCTCACGTTTCTCTTGATCTGTCTTTAATGGCGATGAGCCGAGAGCGCGTGCCGTCCGGGCGATGTGTACGGTGCTTGGGTAGTTCTCGTTGCGTTTCTGGTGAGGGTGGCATGGCTGTGACTTCAAACAGATGAGGGCATATCGAGAGGCAGAGGAATCCGGGGCGAGATGCGGCTGTCGGCGGTCTGTGGAGGAAGCTGAACAGATGGCCTCGGGCGAGGTACGGAACGGGTGACCAGGGCAGAAGAGAGGCAGGTGATGACAGGAGCAGAGTGGCAAGACCGAAGGCCTGCCGATTGGCGCGCCCGTGTTCGGGAGTCGGCCCAAGGTTAAGCCGCCGCTTTGCGCAGGGACCACGTACGGTGGGCGGCCTCGCACCGCTGCTGGATGGCTCTTGCTGCTTGCTGCCTTTTGGCTCAAGGACAAAAGCGGGGGTCTTGCGCGCGAGCTCGGCTGCGCTGAAAGCTTGCGCCTTATCGGAGGGCGGACCCTGCATGTATGCACCCCCTCCTCCGCTCGGCGCTCCACCTTTTTGGACCTCGCACCCGGCCGCGCAACTCAAAAGCAAGCAAGGCAGGGTGAGGCACGTACAGGGGCCCGCACCTCGAGCGGATCGAGCGCAAGAGGTGGTGAGCTGACCTACCCCCTTGCTCAACTACACACTCTACGGGCTGGCGACTGCTCTTGGCGGGGCAGGCAGGGTAGGGAGCAGCGGCAAAGAGGGCACACCACAGAGAGCAACAGCAGCGCAGCGCATGTGCGCGTCCAAAGCCTCGATCTTTGGCCAGCTGACGGGCTGACCAGCTCTTAGAGCGGCCCGAGCCTACCCTCCCGCTTCGACCTGCGCCCCTTTCTTCATTCAGGCCTGATGATGATGAGCCTGCCTGCCTGTTTGTACGGGCGAAGACGGGTACGGCCGAAAGAGCGAAGCTCGCTACGTCCCCCGCTCGCTGCGCAGGCAAGTAGTGTGAGCTTGAGGCTGCAGAGCGGGCACCCGTTGAAGTCACATCCAGCCGTTGAAACGGGCGGTGCGGCGCCGTGGTGCCAGCTAGCGGCGTGATTGCCAGAGAGACAGACGAGAGGTGGGGTCGAAGAGGACGACGAGGCCGGAGAGGGGCAGATGCCCTGCTAGCCAGGGACCGTTTCCGCTCGCCTTTTCGCTCGAGGGACCGGTCGCACGCCGCCAGCTTGAAGCCAAGCTAGGCAAGCCCTGGCCAGGCAAGGCAAGGCAAGCAAGATTAAGCTGTCAGGGTGTGTGTGCTCTCTGGCCCGCCCCTCCGCCCGCCCTGCCTGCCCGCTCATCATGGTCCTGCTGGCGGGAAAAAGGGCGGCGGTGGCGGGGCGGGCAAGGTCGACCCACCCGCCTTCAAGAGAGGGGTAGCAACGCACAGCGCGCACCCAGCCTCTCACCTCCTCTTCCCCAACCACCACCACCGCCGCCACCACCATCACCAACACCACCTCCTCCTCATCCTGCGCCATTAACACTCCGGCTTGAAGTTGCCTTCGACCTCGTCGTCGTACTGCCAGCCCCCGACCTCGTCCCACTCTGCTCGACCTGCCTCAACCTCTCCGGAGCACCCGTCAGACCATCCCTCCTCCCAATCAAGCTGCTGCAACGGTACGGCCCCTAGCGAGCTGTGCACAACCTCGTCCTGACCATCAGCTAGGCCCTGCTCCGCAGCGCGATACGACGGCATACTCGATCCAGTCTGCGCTATTAGCATCGGCTGCTCTCCTGCGCCACCACCGCCGAGCAGGGGTCCTGTCCGTCCGTCGGAGACACACCAGCGCAGTCCTCATCGGCGGCACGACTGGTTCATCATGTCTGGCCTAACTGCCATCTCGTCCGCCTTGCCTGCCTCGCACACGGCTCTCGTGCCGCATGCTATCCCCAAGGCCGTAGCATTCGAACCCATCGCCAGCGTTGAGCTCCACTGCAGCGAGCAGCCGAGCCGCGCTTGGCAGAGCAGGGGCCACAAGATCGTCAACTTCCCCGCAGGCCGCGACATCCTCATCAAGCGAGGAAGCAAGCCCGACCCTCCCCACTCGATCATCAACGAATTCGATCAGGTCCGCCGCTTCCCCTCCAAGGTCATCTCCAAGGAGCATGCCTGCATCACCTGGCGCACCGGACCCGACGGCGCAAAGAGGCCCTACCTGCTCGACCTCGCCTCCACTCACGGTACCATTGTCGAGCGCAGGGCGGCAGTCTACGACGCTCGCAGGAAGCGCTGGACACCGGGCTCGGGCATCGTGTCCTGCAAGGTGCCCCAGCACCGACCCTTTGAGCTGCAGGAGGGTGACTGCGTCACCTTTGGTAAAAAGGTCGAGAGCGCCGGCGAAAGCTTTTGGCCCGTCATTGGCTACGTACGTATCATCCCTCCCCTCTGGCGCCGCAAGTGCGATCCAGATTGTGTGACGCTGACGCATGCACTTTGCCCGATGTTCCCTACTGCAGGTCCACCTTCGCCTGGACAAGGAAGCTGCGGGTGGCAAGGACGAGGACGTCCTCTTCATTGGATCTAGACCGGCATCGCTGAGCGGTCGCTTCAGCCTAAACGCGATCGACGTTGACTCGCTCAGCGAAGGTGGCCACGACGACAGCGGCGTCGAGCTCTCCGAGACGGAACCGCAGAAGCCGGAGAAGCGGGACGAGGCGCCTCTGTCGGCCGCAGCGGCCAAGCACCACCATGCAGATGAGGACGCTACCACGCGCGACCTCACCGAGCCGAAGGCGGTCCCGGCAGAGGGACTCGAGCAGACGAGCTCAGCTGCCATCGACCAGCAGCAGTCCCCTCTCCCTGCCAACAAAGATGTTGCCCCCTCGGCAAGTGCGAAGGAAGACAGGAAGGCACCATCGCTCGACGCGATCGCAGGCTCCACTCGCGAGGAACCGCGCCACGAGGACTCTGAGCACCAGGACGAGGATCGTCGTGGCGACGCCGCAAGAGGCGACGACGAAGACGCGTGCCTTTGCAAGATTTGCCGAGCCACTGCCAGCACCAAGAGCGGTCAGGTCGAGATGGAGCGCTGCGAGCTTGATCCCGAAGCTTCAGACTTGGAAGAGGGCGGCGACATGAGCGCTGGTGCCGAGAAGACGAGCGAGGTGGACCGAGCCGCCAACGGCCTCGACGCGCTCGTGCAGGGTCGTGATGCAAGTGAGGAACCTCGCCCAGAGAAGCGCGATGAGATCCAGGACGAGGACGAGGAGATGGCAAGCGTGGAGATTGAGCACCACTACGGAGACGAAGACAAGAGCGGAGAGAGCGAAGAGGACACGAGCGAGGACGAAGACGAAGACGAGGATGAGAACGAGGGCGAGGATAACGAGGAGGTGGGCGATTCGGAGGGCGAGGAGACGTTGGGCTTCGACCATCCGGTGTCGGACGATGTCGAGGGGGGCTCTCAGGATGGCGAGGGCGACATGGACGCGTCCGGCGAGGCGCACCTCGACAACGATCATCGCGACATGGAGACTGCCGTCGTCGAGACCTGCGACGACGAGGACTGCGACGACGAGGAGCTCGATGAGGAGGACCTCGACGAAGAGGATTACGGCGACGAAGAGATCGACGAGGACGAATACGATGACGAGGACCTCGAGGACGACTTTGAAGACGACTACAGCCAGGACGGCTCGGACGGGCAGATTGACGGAGAAGTCGAGGCCGACAATGCGGCCGCTGTTGTCAAGCCTGGTGGCGATCGCGAGGGCAATCCGGCTGCAAACGCTGCAGAGGCCGGCGCGATGGCGCACGCCCATGCGCTGTTCGAGCCGAAGGACGACGACGCTGCCTGCAGCAAGGAATCTGCAGCGAAGGCGAACGACGCTAAGCCGATCGTTGAGGTCGTCGTCGAGGTCGAGAAGCACCGTACTCGACCTGCCGCGTTCTCACGCCAGACGCAGACCGAAGCTCACGAGGGCGACGCCTCGGTGGCCATGCCCAGGGTCATTGCTTCTAACAAGAGGATCCGCGACGTCGCAAGCAGCGGAGCCACGGTTACAACCGTGGTTGCCAAGGCAGCGTCGGGCGACGAGCCGACAAAGGAACAAGCGGCCGCCGTCCAGGTGGAAGCATCGATTGCCACCGCGGAAGCCGAGGAGCAGCCCGCCGGCAGCAAGGCCGGAGTCGGATCAGCCGCGCAAATCGCAGTCGAGACGCCTTCCGCCTCCTCCGCCCCCGACACGGCCGAGTCCGTTGTTCCTGTCCCCGTCCCCGTCTCCGTCGCTGTAATGGACGTGGGACAGTCGGTGGCGGCGGCGTCCGACCAGGTGGTCACGACCGCTGATGCTCCGCACAAGAAGCGTCGAACCGCCGAGGACACCGCTCTGCCCATCCACTTGGCCGAGCCGGTCAGCGACGCGCGCGGCTGGCGCCACTCGCTCAAGCTCATGGCAGTCGGCGCAGTTGCTGGCGGCGTGGGCGTCATGGCTGGCCTCGTCTCGATCGGCCGCAGCGCCCAGTGAGCTTGGCAATAGTGGATGCATTCCATGGCCCCGCTCAAGCCCCGGCCTCATGCCTTGCGACCGCTCTATCCTTCGCCACATCGGCAACCAACCCGCCGACCCTGGCAACCGACGCTCGCGGCGCCATCGTTTTGGACCTGTCGCCCGGTCCCATCTCGCATCCACATGCCGTCGCACATCTCGTCCGAAGGCGACGGCGCTATTTGCGATGGCTTCCCTACCTGCCTGCCCGCCCGACGGGCAAGTTGCCCGCTCGGATCAACGCAACAACAGGCGGCTGCAGCAGCGACGGCTGCGCCCGCGAACCCCGGTGCAGGCGCCGGCGCACCCACCGCAGATCCTTGACCGACATCCCTGCCCCCCCTCAGGCCCACCCGCCCATGATCCCGTCAATCCACGCGGCTGCGGCCCGTCTCTCCGCGACCGACCTCTCAAATGCCCTGCCGAGCCTCGAATCCTCCACGTCGGCCCAGCCCTGCGGGCCGCATGGCCGCTCTGATCCTGATTTCCCCTTCCGCGCTCAGTGATTCCGCGAGTCCGGCACAAGCCGCCAAACCATGTATCCGCGCCGTGCTCCTCATCGTCGTCTCTCGCGCGTCCCGTTCCTCGCGCCCCGCGCCCCATTTCCGCAAGTGTTTCGATTTCCGATTTTAGCGCCACGTCTCCCCCTCCCGACGAGGCTGTAATGCATCGCGACCCCAATCTCGCCGCTCCCGTCTGCGCGTCCTGCTGGCCATCTCTCGGCGAAGGCGACGGCTAGTAAGCGGGTCGGTAGGCGGGGTAACCCTGAGCTTGGCCGTGGGCTCCACCCTGCGGTCCCTGCGGCTGCGCGCCGTAAGCCTGGTTCTGTCCATGTTGGAGCGGGGAAACGGGTGGGCCGCCTGCGTAACCCTGCTGGTGCTGCTGCTGCTGGGGCTGCGAGTAGTGCAGTTGTTGTTGTTGTTGTTGCTGCTGAGGAGGAGGAGGAGGTGGGGCGGCATAACCGGAATAGGCAGAGTAGCCACCCTGCTGCTGCTGCTGTTGCGGTTGTTGCGATGGCGGAGGTTGATGGTGGTAGTACGAAGGTTGCGGGTTGGCTTGGGAAGGAGGGTGGAAAGAGGGTGCAACGTAGGAATGTCCCCCGCCCGTCGCGGGAGGAGGGACAGAGGTGTAGGATGGGTAGCCGTACCCCCGTCCCTGTCCCTGCGAAGGAGGGGGAGGGGGACGAGGAAGGTTGTACTGGCCCGATCCAGACAGAGGCGGCGGCGAAAAGGAAGAAGTGTACCGTGCCGGTGGTGGAGGTACGCCCCCTATCGTCGTCGTCGTCGTCGAGGAAGGTAGGGGAGGAGGAGGGTAGGCCCCGCCGCCGCCTCCACCAGCACTTTGGCTGTACGGCTTCGTCGGAGACGAAGCGTGCATCGACGGTGGTGGCAGCGGCTGGTTGGTGTATCCCTGCTGCTGCTGCTGCGGCGGCGGCTGCAACGGCGGTGGAGATGTGTACCGATCGTAGCTCAACGATGACGACGGGGCGTTGTAGCTTCCCTGTCGCTGTGGCTGTCCCTGTCCCTGCATCGGAGGAAGGGGCGGCGGCGCGGGTCCAGGTCCAGGGTAGGATGCCGACGTCGACCTCGAGGGCGGTTGCTGCTGCTGCTGCGGGTGCTGAGGCTGGTTGAGCGTCATACCGCCAAACGAGCCCTGCAGAGCATCCAGGCCGCTTGCGTAGCCTCCGCCAAGGGGAGACGTGGGCGAGGCGATGCCCGGCCGTGCCTGGCCCGGCAGGGGCGGCGGTGGCGGCGGAGACGCGACACCGCGGCCCGTGTCCTGGTACCCGCTCAGCTTGTCGTCCCACTCAAGCTCGCCCGAGAGCTTCTCCCTCTCGGCCTTGCGCCCCTTTACGTAGGTTTCGACGTTCCTCCTCAGGCCGTCGACAATCTCGAGCAGGTCAGTGTAGAACTGCACGCCCCTCGCCACCGCCGCGCGCACCTCGGCGTGTCCCTCTTTGGCCCTTCTCAACCTGCCGACCAGCCCGTCGCGTGCCCGCTGCTTCTCCTCCCACACCTTCCTCGCCCTCCTTGCGGCAGGCAAGGACTCGAGGTCCTTGTATGCCTGCGTCACCTCGCCCAGCACCACCTGTTGGTGGTGCGCGCTCACCGCGAGCCGGTTCTGGTGCGCTTTAAACTTCTCCAGCTCCTGCGCAAAGATGGCCGGCTCGACGTTCTGCGCGCGCCGATTGAGGACGAGCACGTGGGAGATGTCGTCCGTCTGGATCTTTTCCTTGAGGTCCGCCAGCACCTCGCCCCGGTCCTTTTTCATCTTGTGTAGCTTGAGTAGCCCTTCGTCGATCTGCGCAAGCTTGGTCTGCACCTGCCGCACCTCGGCCTCGTCGGCGCGATCCTCTTCCTCGCCCAGATCCAGGAGGCTGGCCGCGCCGCCCGGGGCCGATCCCCTATGCTGCGACGAGCCCGAAGATCCGCTCAGCGCGGCTGCAAAGGCTGACTCGAGCGTGTCGCGGCCGGCCACCAGCAGCGAGACGTCGTCGCGGATCGACTCCCAGAGCTCCTGGATGCGTCGGTCGTTGGCTGTGGCCTGCTGCAGCGCCTCGCGGTTCTCCTTGAGGCCCGCCCGCATATCCTTGGTGTGCAGACCGGCGGGGTCCTGCGTCCAGCGGTGGCCGTACTTGACGCGCAGCTTTTCGCATTCGCGGTTCTCGTCGTCCAGCGCCGCCGTGGCCGTCTCGATCGAAGAAGAGGCCTGGCCGCGCAGCCTCGCGATCCGATCCAGCCCAGAGGCGACGCCGTCGGTGCCCGTGCCCAGGCCGTCAGCGCCATGCCCTCCACCCCCCTGCGCCTCCTCTTCGGACCAACGCATCACCTCGGCGCCCGGGTCGGCAAGCGCATCTAGCGAGGCATCTGCAGCGCCAGCACCGGCCCCCTTGCCGATGCCACGGTACTGCTTCAGGCTGGCGGGCAGGCCCATGTACTCGAGCGCTGCCTGCAGCTCCCCATTGGCCAGATCGTGTCGCTCGCTCTCTGCCCGGGCAATCTTGGCCTTCTCCTCCGAGTACATGCTGGCGCTCTCGTGCACAGCCAGCGGGATGAGGCGCTGGAAGAGATCGGGCTCCAAGATGCGCTGCACCTCGGGGGCCTTGAAGATCTCCTGGATCGAGATGGGTGTGGCGGCGACCAGCTTATCGACAGCCGGCAGCGTCGACTCCGAGGGGAGGATGTCGTGGTAGATGAGGTCGTTGTTCTTGACGGCCTGGGCTTTGCGCTCGGTGCAGACGGCCAGGTGGGTGGTGAGGAGGGCCGACATGGCCGACACGGCGTCGCTGGGGAGCGACGGCCGAGAAGCCGAGATGCTGCCGGGCGCCGTGACGTTGAAAGCGTTCGAGAGCTTCTGCGCCTCCTTGGCTTGCGTTTCGGCCACCGTCAGACGGACGAGGGAGGCGCCGTGGTTGCCCGACGCGTCGTCGGCGAGCGCTCGGTAATACTGGGTCATCGATGAGAAGTACTTGGCCTTGACCTGAAGGGAGAATGGCGCCGAGCGGATGTTCGCAGGACCCAGCTTCGGGTCAGCCGGGACGTCGCTGGGCATCAGGCAGGGACCGGGGTGAGCGAGCGACTTACCTGGATGAGATGGGACCACGACCGTTCAAAGTAGCCCTTGGTGACAAACTCCTTTGCATCCTCGACGAGCTGGTTGTAGGCTGAGGCGGTATGACTGGCGAGCTTGGCGACGAGGCCGTGGCTCTTCTTTTCCTCGATCGACTTTTCTAGAAACACCTCCGAGGCCTGGGCCAGCATGAGGCCGACGAGGGCCTTGACGACGTCTTTGCTCATGTCGGTGCTGGGTGCGTGCAGGAAGTTCTCGTTGATGTAGGTGAGCATGCCGGCAGCCTGACGGAGGGCGGAGTAGGCGCGCTTGAGGCCCTCGGGATTGCCGGCTAGGCGGGGCTGGGATGAGGCGAGCGACGAGAGGGTGGCTGCGATGTTGAAGATGATGCTGGCCTTTTCGTAGGCGAGGCTGGACTGGGAGATGGTCTTGTGGGTGAAGGCGTCGTTCCAGGGAAAGGGCACGCGCAGCTCTGGGAAGCGGGCCTCGAGCATCTCGAGCATGTGGAACCACTTGTAGAGGAGGTCGCGGGCGGTCGAGTCGCTGCCCGCGCCGCGGACGGCATCCTGCCTGGCCCGGTTGAGCTGGGCGGTCTGCTCTGCATAGGCCGACGGTTCCTCGCCGTATGTGTTTGTGATGATTGTCCGGACTGCGCTGCCGAGATCGACCTCCTCGGTCGTCTTTAGCGGCAGGCTGACGAGGGGCGCCTGGCTGCTGTCCGACATGGCCAAAGCAGGCGACGGCTGGCCGGATGGATGGATGGAACAGATGTCGCAGCAGGGCGGGGGCAGGGACGAGGGTGTGTTGCAGGCGGGGACGGCAGGAAGGCAGGACGGCAGGACGGCAGGGAATGAAGCTAGCGTGGATGGGAGGGGATGGTGGCGAGAGGCGGGTGTGAGCCAGGAGATAGCATCGCGACGCTGGCTGCGTGGCCAGGCCAGGCCAGGTCAGGCCAGGCCAGTAGGCCAGCCCAGCCCAAAGGCCAGCGCGGGGGCCAAACCCCCGACGATGCCTCGCTTGGAAAGCCAAGTGGAGCAGAGGCTGTGTGGGTGCACGCGCCCGCTGACGTCCGGTTTGCATGCCCTCTGCGTGGCCCGTGCGCAGCCATCTCGTCGTCGTCGTGGTCCTCGACGCCGCTCTCACCGAGGTCCCCACGTAACTAACTAGTAGCTTGCTCTCGCACGCGCAACACTAGTCTACTTGCGACGGCGGCAGTTCCAATCGAGGCACCTAATCGCTCGGACCGATACTCAAACAAAAGAGGGGCGTACTTTCAGTCGGATTGCACGCATCGGCGCCGCACTCGGACGACGAGGTAGTCTATCACTGCGGCACTGTCCAGAAGCTCAGCCCGCTGCCGACGGCGAGACCGACGCAGAGCCAGAACGAGAGCAGCGCGGCGGCCAGCGGCGCCTCGCTCGACCCCTTTGAGTTGCGCAGGCTGCTCCGCGACGGGCCCGAAATCATGATGCACGTGCTCACGAAGCCGTTCGTCAGCCCGAACAGGAGCATCGCGATGAAAAAGGGCGCATCGCTCGACTGCATCAGCGACTGCAGCGGGCCTAGCGGCGGTGCAGCGTCACCGCCGCCGCCACGGCCGCCCTCGTCGCTCGAGATGGGGCCCGTGCGCCTCGAGCCCGAGACGACGTGGCAGGCCAGAAAGACGGGCACGAAAACCACCCTTGCCAGCGACGCACCCACCAGCGCCCGGGTCTTGCGCAGCAGCGTCTGTGGTGCCACGCTCGGCAGCGTCCTCCCGGCGAGGTCCGAGAGGTTGTAGAGGAAAAAGTGGAACGGCACAAAGATCTGCGGCGACGTCAGATCCAGTGCGACGTGGCGGTGAGGTCGGCCGCCTCCGCCCTCGATCGACGTGGGAGAGTAGACGCTCTGGACTGCCGAGGTAAGGGCGGGAAAGAGCGAGAGGGTGACGGTGAAGATGAAGGCAACCGCGAAGCAGTCCCACGCTGCCTTGGACTGGACGGCAGCGAGGCGCAGCAGCGAGCTGCGCGTCTCGGCAGAAAGGCGGTGGAAGCCCGGGAAGCTCTTGAGCATCGAGGCGTAGTGCGGGTGCGAGACAGAGCGCTCCGAGTGAAAGCTCTGCGTCATGCCATGCTCGGCGAGGTCGGCCGAGTCCAGCGCGTCGGAAGGCGGGTCGGTGTCGACCCTTTGGATGCTGGCCACCTCCTTGGCCATGACCTGGGCGTACAGCTCGGAACGCCCGAGCCAGACAAAGGCGGCCACCACGACGGCCATGAAGGCAAGCGACATTGTGAAGAAGACGGTGGCGGCACGGGCGATCTCGTTGGCCTCTTGCTCGGCAGGATTGAGTGGGCCAATGGGGGAATCGAGGAGCGGTGGCGATAGGCTGCGGTCTTCGGCCGACGACTGGGACCAGGCCGATACGATGCCGACGAGGCTGATGCCAAGTCCAACGAGGCCCTGACCGGTGAGCATGATGCCCATGAAGCGGCCCCCCGCGCCGAAGGCGGTGCTGAGAGCAACGACGGCGTTTTGCATGTAGGCGGTGGCAGCCGACAACAGGCTGCCGAGGGCGATGACGAGGTAGAAATAGGCGGTCGGGTTGGTGTGCACGGTCGCCGCGTCCGAGTAGAGGTTGACCATGGTGGAGATGATGAAGCAGACGAGGGCGAGCATGATGGCGAGCGATGAGGCGATGATCCTCCTCCGGGGACTCGACTGGCTCAAGATGTTGGGACCAGGCACTAGCTTCAGCGGAAGCGAGAGGAGTGAGACAGCAATGGGGCGGCGGCGGCCAATAGAGACTCACGCGTTCGAAACCACCAGTCGCGGTGGCGTGGAGACCAAAGAGGATGCTGACGACGTTGTAGGACACGACGATCCAGCTGCTGAAGGTGGTGGCGTACTGTGTACTCGCGAACGACGAGCGGAAGTACTCGGCGGGAGTGATGATTGCGTTGCTGAGCGCCAAGGGACCGCGAGGCAGACAGGAGGCGGAGAAAAGGTGAGCGAGGCGTGAGGAGCTGCGAGGAGCGGAAAGAGTGGGGCGATGTGCTCACAAGGGGAGGAGCATGCCACCGCCGAGCAGGCCGAAGACGGCAAAGACGGCGGCCTTTTGGCGCGGGCGCATGCGATGCCAGGCGAGGGAGCCGTGTACGCCATTCTTGATGAGCGGCTGTGGCGAGGGTGAGTCCCCGTGCCGGTCGAGGTGGTATGGCGCTAGCGCATCGTCGTCCTCGCTGTCGCCGTCGCCGTCGCCCCGGCTGTCTGTATAGGGGCGGCGAAAGGCTTGACCGCTGCCGGTGTGGCGAGCATCTGGGCAATCGAAGTCGTGCGATTCTGTGGTTGCCAAAGGGGCGTATCCTTGCGCCGAGGCCGACTTTGCCATGTCGTGCGGGCTGTGTCGGCGAGGTGACGGCGTGCAGATGGGAGCTGCTAGGTGGTCTGACACGGATGTATGGCCGAGGGCAGGGTGTGTCGGATACCGCCGTGACGAAGTGACGACGATGCGGAAGAGCCGATTTGGACGAGACCAGATCCACAGAAAGGCAGGCAGAGTACGAGTAGTGGGTGGGTGGTTGGACGGTCATGGTGCAGAGCATCGCGTAACCCGTCGGACCAAGCCGAGAAAGCCTCCTGGCTGGCGTCTCTCTGCCTCAGGGGCCCCGGCCAACAACGTACCCAGCCCGAAAAATGGCCTGGCGCCAGGCCAGGGTCCTCGCCGAACAAGACGCCGCCTGCAGATGCACGCTTCGTCCCGGCCATCGGGCACCATCCATCGGCCGCACCGGCTGCGAGGGTTCAGAGTCGAGTCTACCTCGAGCTCGGGCCTCGACAAGCTCAGGCGCCAACGTAGATTCGAAGGGCACTGTGGCTACCGACGAGGCCCCGCCCTCTTGCAGTACATGGCATGGCATGGCTCGGCCTCGGCCCGTCCGAAAGATGGCCAGCTGCTGGGTGGCCTGGCAGCATACATGCACTCGGTGAGGTCGGGCTTCGAGCGAGTAGAGTAGTGTATCCATATGTGCTAGTGAGATGGGGGCAGCCTGCCTGCCTGCCGGTCTTTCCGGATTTTCCGCCTTCCAGAGTCGAGAGCGAGAAGCAGCAAGCCTGGCAAGCAAGGCGTGGTGGGCGTAACTGGACCAGCGGGCGCAGAGTAGTTGGACCCGTCTGCTGCTGGCTTTTGCCTGGCCAGGTTGAAAGCGGCCAGGCGGACACTTGGGGCAAGGCAACCAAGCAAGGGCAAAGGCTGGGCAGAGGCCGGAAGGCAGCCGCCCCGCCCTGCGCATGCGCCCTCGGCCCCTCCTGCTGCCTGCTGCCTGCTGCCTGCTGCCTGCTGCCTGCTGCCTGGCAACCCGGCAGTTTGGCCGTGCAACCCGCCTGTCCGGGTCAGTCCCTCTTACTACTGCTTCGGCTTGGCTCGCTCAGGCTGCGGTCGGCGCTCCCTCCTCTCTCTCTCTCTCTCTCTCTCTGTGTGTGTCTCTCTGTCTCGCTGTCACCTCTCTCTCACTTTCTCCGCCCCATCCTCTTCCTCTGTCCACCACCCCACAGGTCGCCACCACCACCGTCAACGGCATCCTGACACTCTGATCCCCCTCCTCGGCCTACTCCACCGCCACTACTACTGTGCCTCCATCACGTCCTGGATATCGCCCTTGCCAGCCAGCCAGCCAAGTCGGCCACTAGCCGCCCTCGCACTCGCAATCGCACCCGCACCCATCTGCACATATTGCCATGCTCGGCCGTGGCTAGGCGGCCCATCCTTCCTCGCCCTCCGGCCCGTTCCCTGGCCTCTCGTTATTCCCGCTTCTTTTGCCCTTCCGCCACCCTCTTTAGTCCAGCCCGCCACCGTCACTCGACCCGCTGCATATCTTCACGTCTCCCGGATCTACTAATCGACTCCCTCCTGCCCACTTATGATCAGACTGCTCGTCCATATACCAACCCGCACGTCCCACGCCGTCACTGTCCCAGCACCCTCCCTTCCCTAGTCGACCCACACTGGCGCCCCCTTACCCCGTCTTGCCCCTCACACGCGACCTACAATGAGCCTGCCTACCAGTCCAGACACACCCGTCCTGCCGCAGCGCCCCGCGGGAAAGGCCTATTTCCCCTGCGAGTACAAGGACGAGATTGACCAGATGCACAATCTCGCAGACTCCCTGTTCGAGCACTACTCGGACACCATTATCGGTGAGCAGACGCCGTTCCACTCAGGCCACTGCGCGCACCTGCACTCGGCGAACATCCTTCTCGTAGAAGGAACAAGAACAGATGCTGAATGCTGTCGCGATCTACGCGCCCCTTTTGTCCCGCACCCTCCCTTGCAGACAAAGGCATCACCGATGGCGTCCAGGAGTACTACGTGCCTCGCAAGCCCGAGGAACCTCTGACGCAGCTGCCCTTCATGGCCGGGCGTGGCCACGTCCCAGACCTCACGCCGCTCGAGGTCTTCACCGGCATCCGCATCACCAGCTATCGCATGATGTGGGACGTGCGCATCCAGGCCGCAGTGACGGTGCGCATCTTCTCGCAGCACGACTTCACCTTCTACCTCGTCTGGCGCGGCATCGGCCCCATCTATAGCCCGCGCGACGTCGTCGGCAGGCAGGGCTTGCGCGCCTACGACGCCGCGGGCCGCCTCCAGACGACGCCAGACTTTGACACGCAGAGGATCACGGTCTGCTACACTTCGGTCCCGAGCCTGCCCGGCATACCGGACCAGGCCGAGGGCTGTGTCCGGGCCAAGATCCTCGAGGGCGGCTACATCATCGAGGCCAACCCGACCCTGGGAGGCTGCGACGTTACCTACTTTGCCAAGGTCGACCTGGCCCTCACCATCCCCTCGTGGATCTCGACACACCTCGTCGGCGAGACGCGGCGGTGCGTCGGTCGGCTCCGCGACGCGCTCAAGACGTTTGGCGTACCGCCCATCCTCATGGACCGTCAGCAGTGCGTGGCCCTTCAGTTTCTCGAACACCACCCCGAGTCGCGCAGGGTCACGGTGCTCGTCACCATCATACATCCAGGCACCTTCTACCTCTACCTCGACTATGGCAAGATGTACACCCAGGGCATCGTCGCCACCAACATCGAGGGCGAGGCGGCGGCCTGCATCCGGCTGCGCGAAGAGGTGGCGACGCGCGAAGACGAGGGCGTCCTGGGCGAGGGCAGGAGGAGGCTGGCTGTCGACGTCTTGCACGAGGGCATCGGCGGCGACGTCCGAATCACACTCGACGCGACCGACAAGAAGGAACCCGAGTCCGGGACAGGCCCCGGGTGGTGGTGAGCCAAGCCGCGGCCGAGCGGAGCAGCTCCGGGGGCGAGCCAGCCGGACGAGGCCGCCGTGCCGCCCGCCACAAAAAGTCGTTTCAGAGAAGCCGCGACCGACACGATGTAGAACGCCACGCACGGGCCGCAGGGGAATGATCAATATCGTGTTGCATCGAAGCCGAACGAGCGGCGGCTGAAACAGGGGTGCGGTTGTTGCCTGGATCTCTAGCCACGTCGGCGCGCGCGAGAAGAGTATGGCCGCCAGGGTCTACTTCTTGCCCATCTTCTTGGCTCTGCGCTTGCGGCCGATCGAAGAGCCATAGAGGCTTCCGAACTTTTTGGAGCCGTCGGCACCCGCGGCGGACTCCTTGTGCCTGTCGATCTTCTGCGACGCCTTGTGCTGCGCCCTGCGTTCCGACGTGCTGGCGGTCTTGTCGCCCCTCTTGTCTGACCGGCCCTTTTTGTTGTCGAACGACGATGAGGCAGAGGAAGAAGGACGAGAAGAGGTCCTGCCGCCGCTGCGGCTGCTGCTGCTCTTGTCGGCTGCGGCGACGTTGTTGGCGCTTGTGTTGGGCTGAGCGCGGTCCGGGTCCTATTGTCGAAGCAGAGATCGAACGACGGGGAGGAGAGGAGAGGAGAGGAGAGGAAAGGAGAGGAGGGTCAGTGGTCGGATCTACATGGCACGCCTCGGAAGGAGCAAAGAAGGGGGACGTTCGAAGGGGTCCGCGCGCAGGAACTCACCGAAGACGACGCCGCCTTGCGCTTGTTTCCCTCGCGCACCTTGTCCGTCATTTCCTTCCTCTTCCTCGTGACGGTGGCATTCTCGATGCTGAACTCGAGCACCAGCAGGCCACCCCTCTCGCTCTTGTCCGGCTTCTGGCCGGCCTTGAGCTCGTCGACCTTCCTCTGCATCCTCTTGATCCTCGCCTCCATCTCGTCGATCTCCTCCTTGACTTCCGAAGACAGCGTACCTCCTCCTCCGCCGCCGGCGGACGACTTGGCCTTGATCTGACGGCGGAACGTCTCGATCCTCGTCTCAATGTCGTGCTGCCACCACTCGGTAAAGAGCGTCGAGACGGCCGGGTTGCCGTTGGCCCAGCGCACCACCTTGAGCGCCTCCTGGAACGTGCGCATCTCGAGGAAGCCGTAGCCCCGCGACCGACCCTGCCCCGTCAGCGGGTCGATGCGGTCCGCCTGCCGCACCACCTTGGCCTGCAGCACCGCCGTCGGCCGCTCGCCCTTTTTCTTGGCCGCGAACCCGCCGTCCTCGGCGAGCGTCGCCGAAATCGTGCGGTCGGCGCGCTCGTACTCGTCGAGGTCGACGCGCTCCTCGGCCTTGACCTCGTCCTTGAACGAGCGCAACGCGTGCAGCGCCAGCTTCTTGAGCATCTTGTCCGACACGAACAGCGGCAGCTGGCGCACCGCCAGCCGCGTCTTGCTGATAAAGAGCGCAGGGTTGCTGCCCAGCTGGCTGCGGCGGATCGTAAACGACTGCAGCCGCTTCTCGCACTCGCCCGCCGACAGCGTGCGCGCGATGGCACTCTCTGGGAAGGGAACACCCTCGCGCAGCAGCCACGTGTTGCGCTTGTCCTCCTTCTCGCGCTGCTTGCGGCCCGACGTTTCGAGCTTCGACGCCTCGGTGCGCGCCACGGCCGGGATCACGTTGAGCACGCGGCCGTGCAGGTTGAGGCTGGCCGTCAGCGGGGCCGAGGGGTCGGCAGTGAGGACCGAGGGAAGGGCGAACGGGTTCTTGCCGGCGCTGGCCGCCGTCGATGCCGAGCCCGACGTGCCGGCCTCCTTCTCGATGATGCGTGCCTGGGCCAGAGCAGCATCCGCCGACGACGCCTGCCAAAAGCAGACGAAGCCGGTTCCTTTGCTCCGGTTGGTGGCCTTGTCCATGGTGATCTTGGCGTACCGCAGCGGTCCAAAGTGGCGGAACACGCTCTTGAGCTCCTCCTCGGTCGCCTGGAACGGCAGGTTGCGCACGAACAGCGTCGTGCCCTCCTCGGGCTGCGGAAGTGCCGGCTTAGCCTCCTCGTCCGACGACACCTCGGCGTTCTCATCGTCGTCATCGTCGCCCTCCTCGTCGTCGTCTTCACCCTCATCCTCGTCGTCATCCTCGTCATCCTCGCTCTCGGCCTCCTCGGCGTCGCTCTGCTCGGCCTTGGCCTCCCAGTCCTTTTTGCTGAGCGCCCAGTCGACAGCGACAACCCGTTCCGGCTGGGCGGCGGCGCGGACCGCGTCGAGCACCTTCTTGGCGGCGTCACGACCCTTCTTGCCCTTGGCGGCCTTGTAGGCGGCGTGCTCGGCCGCGCCGTGTCGGATCGGCTTGCCGTTGACAGCCTTGAGCGCCTTGGCGGCATCGTTGCGCGACACGTGCCAGACGAAGGCGAACCCACGGCCGCGCTCGCCCTTGGCGGCAGCGGATGACGACTGCTCCACCTCGTTCAGTTCCGCGTCCTCATCTTCTTCCTTGTCCTCCTCGGCCTTATCCTCGTCATTGTCCGCCTCGTCCGAGTCCGTTCCGTCCTCGTCGTCATCAGAGCCCGAAGTGACGCCCGAACCCTTGTCGCTGTCGCTGTCGCTTTCGTTGTCGTCGCTGCTGCTCTTGTCCTGTCCCGCCTCGTCGTCCTGTTCCTCAGCGTCTCCCTCCTCCTCCTTTGCGCTGTTGCTGCTGTTCTTTGGAAGGGCCTTGGGTATCTGGATCTGAAAGATGGGGCCGTGCGGCAGGAAGACGGCGCGAAGGTCGGCCTCGGTGACGTCGAAGGGTAGGTTGCGGATGATGAGCCGGCTCGACTTGTCGACCTCGGACGTAATGACGGGCATGCTCCCCTTGCCGCTGAACTTTTCAATGTCCTGGCGCATCTTTTCGCGCTTGGCCAGCGTCTCGGGCCGCATGTGGGCGGCGAGCTTGGTGGCGCCGTCTGCGCGCTTCTTGAGGATGGCGCTGATCTGGACGCCCTTGAAGGTGTGGGCGTGGAGCTTCTCGACGGCCGTCATGGCGTGGTTGGGCGTGCGGAAGATGACGTGGGCGACGTCGTCGGGGCGCGACGAGCCCGGATGCGGGTATACGACGTTTTCGACGTCGCCGATCTTGCGCGCCCGCTTGTAAATCTGCTTGGAGTCTGCCTTGGCCGTGCAGGCGGCTAGGCCGGACAGAATGACGGTGCGGACGGCGTCGGCGTCCTTTTCGAACGTAGGACGCGGTCGTGCCGCGGACTGCTGGCCTGCTGGCTTGTCGTAGCGGGGCTTTTTGGCGGCCGATGCGGTGTCGGCAGCGGCATCGCCACCCTGAGTGGCCTGAGCGGCGAGGAGCGCGCGTGCCGCCTTCCTCTCCTTCATGGGTGCCTTTTCGTCCGCGATGGAGATCTGCATCTTGCGCTTGCCGTCGAGCGACTTTCCCTGGAGCTGCTGAAGGGCGGTCTTTGCGTCCTCGGCCATGGCAAAGGTGACGTAGCCGACGCCCTTTGATGACTTTGTGGTTGGATCGGTGACGACGAAGGCGCGCTTGAGGGGGCCGATATCGCTGAAGAGGGTCTCGAGGTCGGTTGAGGTGGCAGTGTAGGGCAGGCGAGACACGAAGAGGGTGGCGTTGCGGCTGTCGGACGTCGACGAGGAGGCGGCACCGGCTGCAGCCGCCGTCGGAGCGGCATCGTTAGCGGCAGCTGCGCCTGCGGCCTCGGCCTCGGCCTGCTCAAAGTATCGTTTGGGCGGCATATCTCCTGGCGTCTCTCCAGATATGGGGATGTCGAGAATCGTGGGGACCAAGAGGTGACGGGGACGCGATGGTGGTGAAGCAGCAAGGCCAGTGCCGGGCCTGGAAGAAAAACGCAGCCAGGCGGCCACGCAAAGGGCCGAAAAGGGTGCAGCGCAGCCACTTCCAAAAATTTCAAGGCCGGCCGGCCTCAAGTGAGGGGGGGGGCGCCTTGCTGCAAGCCCGCCCGGCTGGCTCCCTTCTTCTCTCGCCCGACAAGTGGCGTCGAAGTCAGCCCGTGTCCCGAGGTCAAGTGGGCAACAGCTCGCGTGAGGTGCCCCTCTTGGCCAACCAACACCGCCGAGGGCTGCCAGCCAAAGGCCGACCTGCCCTCCACCTCGAGGGCGGCCAGAAAGGGCCTCTGGTTGGCAGGCAGCGCCCTGGCCCTCTCCATGCTGGCAGAGGAGCGAGCGGGCAGCTCGAGGCAAAAAGTCACAACGGCGGCCGCCGGCTCTGCTCGCACAGGACAGGCTAAAGCAAGCAAGCAAGCAAGCAAGCAAGCAGCGAAGCCGTTTGCCGTAAGCCTCAAACCTTCTCGCAGCCCCCCCTCCCACGACTTCGGCCCCCATCCTCCTTCCGTGGCTTCACCTCTCTCGACCACTACTCTATCGTCTGCCTCGCTCAACGTACCGCGACTCTCAGCACGCCCAGCACGCCCAGCACGCCCAGCACGCCCAACCGCCACCTACCACTGCTACGCCACCCTTCCACCGGCCAAGATGAGCGACGCCAGGCTCAGGCGTGTCACCAAGGAGATCAATGATTGCAAGAACGACAAGTCGTCCGGGGTCGACGTCGTCATGGTTGATGGTGAGCACCTGCTTCTCGGTCCCTTGCCGGCGTTCGCGTGTGTAGCCCGCTCTGACAGCTTCCCGTGCCCCTCTGCTCCTGCCTCTCGCCATCCCCCAGAGTCGCCCTACCACCTGATCGGAACCTTTCCTGGCCCCGAGAACTCACCCTACGATGGAGGCATGTTTGATGTGGTGAGCACTTGACCAGGCTGCTGCCGTCATGCCGCGATCGGCATCCCGTCACTGACCATTGCACCTCTTGCTCCTGATGCCATCAACTCTGTCGCGCCGACCGCCCTCGCAGGACATCCACATCTCAGAAGGATACCCTTTCCAGCCGCCAAAGATGAAGTTCATTACAAAGGTGCGCATGCTGTCAGGCAAACGATGATGATGATGATGCTGCTGCTGCTGCTGCTGCTGCTGCCGCCGCCGCCGCCGCCTTCGCCGCCGCTGCTGCTAGTCGATCCGCCGCTGCTGCTGCCGCTCCCATCGGCTGCTGACAGAAACGCCCCTTCCCGGTACATGCATCGAAACCGGCAGGTCTACCACCCCAACATCTCTTCCGCCTCCGGCGCCATCTGTCTCGACATCCTCAAAGACCAGTGGTCTCCCGTCCTGACCCTCAAATCCACGCTCATGTCGCTGCGATCGCTGCTCTGCTCGCCCGAACCGTCGGATCCCCAAGACGCCGAGGTGGCCAAACACTACATGAGCGACAAGGCCGACTTTGAAAAGACGGCCAGGTACTGGACCGAGATCTACGCCAACGGCAGCGAGAGCGCACGACCACCAGAGACGACATCGGCGGGGCCCAAGGCGGCGAGCGCCAAACAAGAGGACCCGGCCCTCGTCGCCGGTTTGAAGCTCGAACACGTCGCCCAGTTTGTCAACATGGTAAGCGAACGGTCTCCGCGCCGCCTGTTAATCCCGTGCGCGAAGAGCCAACACACCATGTCCTCTCCACCTATCCTATACAGGGTTTTGAGCGAGGTCAGGTCATCGAGGTCCTCAAGAAGCTGAACTACCGTGGTGCCAAGTGAGTCGGAAGCTGGCCTCTTCTTCTCCGCACGTCGACTCTCTCGTGCTGGCCTCGTGTCCACTGACACGGGCTCTCTTCCTCCGAACACGGCTTGTTCCCATCGCTGCAGCGTCCGCAACGTCACCGACGACACGGTGCTCAACGAGCTCCTCAAGTGACGGCGCACAAGCAGCGTACTAGAGGCGCAGCATGGATCATCGTATGCATTTCGAGAGGCACCCTTTGGCATACGGCGCATCGTATTGAACAGCAGGACACGTCCGTCAACGGCCCCTGCCAGATCTGTCCGATCATGTGACAAAGCGAAGAAGAGGCGTGTGTGTGTCGCGCAGATGCAGCATCGATCCACCCGGCTCCGTCGGCAAACTCCGGTTGAGAACAAGGTCGGGCAATGCAGGCACGCCTTTCGGCCCCGATCCGGTGCCGAAGCCCGGGCCTGCCCACCAAGTCTACGATTGCGCACGTTGGCGCAGCCTACGCCGCCCAAGTGCGGCTGCGTCCGGGCGTATGCGCTGCGCCGTGCCTGAGACTGGGCCGCTCGTCGTTTTGGGGTGCTCGTCGACAAGGTTCACCGCCCACCGAAACGCGGCCGCTCCGAAACGGGCAGGCTAGGCTAGGCCGGGCCAAAACAGGGCGCAGGCTAGACTTTGCGACCGACCGGGGCGTTTTGACCGGGTGATGGAATGAAGCTACGAAGGGGTGAACCCGACCTACATGGCTCGGGCGTTGGACGTTGACCCTCCGTTTTAGCGGGGCGCGCCCGGAGGCCCCTGGGCCGCTCATCGGCGGGGCTGTTGCGGAAACCAACCTGCGCAGACGGCGCCACGAGGTGCTCTGCTGAACGTCCCGCCCCCGCCTCTTCTCAAGGCGGTCGCAAGCGCAGCCAGCCATATTCTGCAAAGCTTCGTTTCAACCAGCGAGGAGCGGCGCTGGATTGACCCAGCCAATGTGCTCGATTGCCATCTTCGTGGCTGGATATAAAGACCGGGCAGGACCCGGCGCGCCACAGGTGTATCGCCGTGCTCTCCGCCTCTCTGAACTCGTCCCTGCGTCAGTCTTCTGCCCACACAGGGTCATCCCGTTCATGACGGCCGCCCCATAGCCGCCGAGCCCCCACCCGACATGATCCCATCAATTTCCTGCTTCCGAGACTCTTCCATCCAGGGCGTAGGCCATCGGAACCGCCGCCATCAGGGTCATGAAGCGGCAGCGAAGGACTACGCAGCGTCGACTCCCGGAGCAAAGGTGGCATCGAGCTTGCAGTCTCCTATGAGCTCTGAGCTATATGCTACGACGGCTCTCGTAAGGCCACGGCGCAGATCGGCCACCCGGTCGAGCGCTGCTACCACGAAGTCAGGCGCCCCAACAGCGACGCCGCCCCCGCCTTTGACGCAGTTCTTCTGGGTCAGCGAGCTATCGTTGCCACTGCTGTCTCTCGAGGAAGATGTAGAGCCACCTCAAGACGAGCTGGACGACACGGAGCCTCCCCGCACCTTCTTCGCCTTCTACGCTCCCGGCGATGAAGCGCGTCTTCGTCCTCTACGCGTGCCGACGCCGACTTCTTCATCCTCGGATCTGCGGTCTCTCGCACACTTCCAGGTCGAAGGCAAGGCCACGAGCCTACGCAGCTTGTCGACTCTCGTGAGCTCCGCAGGAGCGTCTCAGGAAAGCCTTGCCCTCCACGATCGACGGGACGGCAGCCTAAGTTCAGAAGCTGGTCATCCGCCCTCCAGCCTGGGCCCCTCGAATATTGACGCGTGGCTCGAGAAGCCTGCTGCCACAAACCCAGGCCGGCGCGGCAAGGTGGACAAGCCGCCGAGCGAGGCAAAAACAGAGAGGGCTAGTGTGAGTGATGACGACCTTTCGCGACGTCGGTGTCTTTTCGTGCTAACGACGGTCGACTTTTCTTCCTCATACCTGCAGCGTGCGTTGAACCCTCTCAGTGCATCGGCCAGTCACGACTCAAATAAGCCGACTCTCTGGGCAACCCCGTTGAACGTGCAACACGGATCCTCTTCAACCACGGACGCACAGCGGGAACTGGACAAAGGCCTCGACTCAAACAGCGCCTCAGGCCAGTCCACGCTGGCAGACCACCCGTACGCGAGCTGGAGGGTGTCTGATCTGCCTTGCCAGGCCTCGGATCGCGATGGAGCGGTCGAGTCGTCGAGCTTCAATTACGAGGCTCTTGAGACTTTTCATCCGGTCCCGCTCCCCGCGGCGCCCGTCCACGCTCATTATTCCAACGGCGTTGAGACTTCGTCCAGCCATTGCGCCGGTGAGGATCGGCCCAGTCGGGACGAATCCTTCTGGGATTTTCGCACATCTATCGCATCCGTCAGACGTCGCTCGGTGCGAGCCTCGAACAGCCTCGTGAGCGACTCTCGCACGCTCGCGGCGAGGAGCAGGGCCACGAGCGTCGAGACGATGGGCAGCCGCCTTTCCCTGACCGCGTTTCCACCCGTACCTCCGAGGCTGCTACCGGCGGCAGCATCGAGCTACATGACGATCAACACGACGCCCCACGGCGTTCGGCGAAGGTCTGACGTGAAGGCTTCGGCTGTCAGGCCTGGAGCGCAAGATCACCGAGCCAGCGCCGAATGTTGTGACGTCGAGCCCAGCAGCTTGGCGTCCACTCGCTCCTGGGACTCGTCTCTTCAGCTGGAGGACATGTCCACTCGCGATACGACGCTGGCTTCCGTCGACTCTGTGACGAGCCTTGCCCGCTCCCGTTGTGCTGCGCACGATGCCAGCGAACAGCTGCTTGGACGGGAGCGGTCCTCGCCTTTCGAGGCGTACAAAACCAGCGCCGCAGCGACCGACGCATTCTCGCATTTGGTCTCGGCGGTCCGTGCCGCCCATGGGCGCGACCATGACGCCAAAGCTGCGCTATCTGCAGCCCCGTTGGCGGCGAGGGGCCCCGGCGCCGCCGAACATCAGCCCTCAACCCTGCTACCGCTCAAGGCCCCTGAGCTGCTAGGTGACGCCGTGCCGCAACACGGTCATGCTCCTACTGGACGAGCAACGAAGTCCTCTGATCAAGCGATCTTAGCCAACCCTCTCCGCCTGCCCAACTCGATCCCGACTTCTCTTTCTCGCAGGCCCGACACATCAGTCGTTTTCCCAAAAGCCGCATACCTTGTAGGGAAGACGAGCGGACCCCCTCACGCCTCCTTCCGCAACCACCAAGACCCGCAGCCGCTCGGTATGGGCGAAGACGGCTCCGTGCATACCGTAGCCGGAAGCAAGCTCGGGGCCCCAGGCTTCGAATCCAAGCTCAAGCGCATTGTCGGAGCGGGCACGCCTGCACGAGTTCGGGCCGAGGACCTGCAAGAGGGCGCGGAACGAGCACGTCTCGCAATCGACCGCCCCTTTGACGAGGGGCTGGAGCGCAGTCCATTGCCTCGTCCCGCTCCTCCGCCTGTACCCCCTCGCCGCCGAGCGCTACCAAGCCCCCATGCCCGCCCTGGCGTCTGGCCTACAGAAGTCGCAGCAGGAGAGCAGCAGGGTCGGTCTGCGGCTGCAAGGAGCCAACATACGAAACACGGCCACACCCGCACCATGCCGACGTCAAGAACCACTCCTCTGGCCATCGAGGCGACTGCCAAGCCGAACTCGGCTCACCTGCAAGAACGACGAGCCAGTCGCTTCATCGGCGACGCGCGCCTGTCTGCCATCGGCGTAGACAGGTACGAGGAACTCCGCAGCCCGCTTTTCGACTGGGCCTCGTGGACGCATAACCTCGCCGAACCTCCTCACTCTATGGACGTCGTCGACGATCGAGGCCTTCCCCTCTCTCCCACTGGACGGCAGCAGGAGGACGTCGGCCGAACCGGCGCTCTGGCAAGCTCATCGCAGGAGCAGCAAGTCGCAAGCACCGCGACGACCAACGATGAACCAGCGCATCCTTCTCCTCCCAGACCTGGGTCAGAGAGTGGCGTCACTGACGGCGACCACCAGGAAGGCATCGCAGCATGTCGAACCTCCAGCATCCCCTTCCCGCGTACCGAGCCAGCGACCCTTCCCTCGATCCTGACAGCGTCTTCGTCCGCCCGTCCGCCCGAACAAGCGGCGATCCGAGAGCAAGTCATCGCCACTGCCAGACCCATGTCGGCAGAGCAAGATGAGGGGGAGGACGACGAGATCGCGTCGTCGTTGCTCCTCGATCTCGACTGGTCGATCGCTTGCATCTCTGCCCTTGTCGCATAGGCCCATCGGTGGTCTCGTGCCGGTCGTTTCGATGGCACTCGATTGAGCCGGTGCCCTGGCCTTCCCGTTCCCCAAGCATGTGCTGTAACCTCCTCCGTGACCATCTCTGAAAGGCGAGCATTGGTTACGACAGCTTCGCCGCCTTGAGTCCTCGTCGTCCGCGCCGGCCACAGCGAGGGGGCAGCTGCTGCACAGACCTGGACCGTGCACAAACTGACCCGAGAGGGCATTTGGAGGGGATTCGGGTGTTTTCATTCATACAGAGGGTGTTTGGGATCAGGTTGGGACGGGGGGAAAGGGCAACGGCCAAGAAGCTACAGTAGTCGGTGCGCGAGTGTGTCGATGTCGCGGCGCGGAAGGAGACAGGCCGAAGCGCCAAGGTCAGGGGACAACAGTGGTGGGGCGACCTGACGACGCAGGCGCAGCGGTGCTTTACGACTGTTGCGCCTGTGCCTGCTGCTGCGGCTGCGGCTGTTGTTGTTGCGCCTGTTGCTGCTGCTGCTGCTGTTGCTGCTGCTGATGTTGAGCATGCGCCTGCGCCTGGGCGTGCGCCTGGGCGGCCAGGTGAGCCTGGCTTGGCGGCTTCTCCTCGAGCAACTCGTACATGAGGACAAAGTTCTTGGACACCTTTTCCCAGCTCCCCGGGTCAAAGAAGACGTAGGTGCCGCGCTCGTAGTTCATCGTCTTGTGCGTCGGCTCCGTGTTCTGCTCCTTTGTCAGCCACAGGTGCAGCTCCTTGTGGTACCGCCAGTTGCGACTGTAGAGCTCCTGCGCCGCCACCTCCTGCAGCACGTCGCGCGGCGTCGAGTAGAAGATAAAGAAGAGCGTCTCGTCGCTAAAGGACGCAATCTTGCTCTGCGCCGGCGGCGGCGGCTGCACATTGTAGCAGCTTGGCAGCGAAAAGTCGGGCTCCACCTGCATCGACGCCAGCATGTTGTTGTCCGACCACGGCGTGATAAACGACGAGTAGAGCGAGTCGGAGGCGTTGAGGTTGAGGCCGAGCGTCTGCAGGTCGCTGCCCATCGTCAGCATGCTAAAGTCTGGGTCCTGCATCTTGATGATGCTCAGCAGGCCCATCAGGCCAAAGCGGTCTGCCGGCGACATCAGCACCTGCTGCACCGGCGTCTGCGCCATGGCCCCGTGCGGCGCGCCTCCGAGGCCGGGTGGGTTGCTGCCGCCGTGCGCCTGTGGTGTTGCGCTGGCGCCAGAGCCCTGCTCGCCGTTGGAGCCGGCGGCGCCGTCTCTTGCAGAGGCGCTGTCCGACGTGGAACCGCCCGCGTTGGCACTGCCCGCCGACGTCCTCGAACCAGGCATCGGTGACCGCCCAGACGTGGGCGACGAGCTGCCCTGGATGCCATTGGCGTGGTTCGAGGATGGTG